TCATCTTAAGCCTGTTTCCTCATTGCCCGCCATCTGTCGCATTATCCAATCTACTGCAATCAGGAAAATCATTGGCGATAGTAGGCAGCCTTGGAACGGGTTAAGAAAAAGTGAGGAGTAGTCAAATCAAAATCTGGCATTGATTCATTAAGCCCTTGATGTCTAGTTTCAGACACTCAGGTAGGGAGGTGTATACCTCCTGGTTGGGTTAATCGGGATGCTAAGAACCAATGGCTGGAGATAATTGGTAATATGGCTGAAAATTGTTCTCAGTGGCTGGCGCAGATGGATTCACTCTTTGCTATCTCCCGAATCCATTAAACAATCGTGTTTGCCATTATCGTTTTTCCCGTACAGAAACTAGAGGAAATTCAATTAGAAAAAAGGTTTAAAAAATGATTAATTTTGATTCAACCAGTTAATATACTAATATTCGCATTAATACAGTACTGCAGGCTGTTAGGAATGAACTGAAAATTGATCCTGAACTCAGAAGTAGGACTAAGCTCTCGGTGGTGTCTCATGAAGTTCGCAGAAGCCGTCGCTATCAAACGGTTAAAACCTGACTTATGTACTCAAAAAGAAGATGTAGTGAATGTTTCTTTACCTTGGTAACTCATCGTATATCTTTAACTGATTACGTCATCCCATATTGGATGTAAGTATTGATTTCTCCTCTCTCTTACTTAGTTACGTCATAAATCATTATTTGCCTCGCTTCATAAGTCTTATATCTAACTAAATGAGCTTAACTTACAATATTGTTCATATCTAATCTATGTATCAGTAAATTTTTAATGTATGCACCCACTGGTGTTTGAACCCATGACATTCCGGTTTGAAGGTGTTCTCGTCGACAATCCAGCTACTGGAACCCAACTCAGTGGCCAGTCCATGGAATCCAACATCTATCGACTTGTGATTTTAGCACAACTTGCACCAACTGATGTCATTGGCGTGTATTTTTCTTCACTCCCAACTAAATGGAACCCCCTAGTCACCCCTTCTCACTAGAACTGCAGGCAGTTTCGTCCTTTAATCAAACACTAGCAAGTATCAGATTAATTTTCAAAGAGTCATTTTGTAGGGATTTCAATGAGTTAGGTCCCATTAGCTGAATGGTCTACCAGCTCGTCTTGTAACCACAAGGTCCTGCGTCCAAACCCTGGCGATGGGTGCATACTGCCGATGAGTCCGAAACTAGGACGGAAGAACGCTGTTCAGCACTCCCTGGTTTTCAATAATATCGATCTGAAAACAAATGAAATCCCTAAAACCCAACACTTGAAAAATTTCTAATGTACCTGAATTCATGTGAACTGTGATCAAGATTTGACCGGATAGTTGCAAAATAATTGAGCGCCGAGTTAAAAGTAGACATTTGTAAAAATTATATTTGCAAAATCTTAGAGAAATTGAAATGATTAATTCCAACGTTTCGTTCCGCAATCTGGTCTGAACTTCTTCAGGGAAAGTAATCGAAATTAACATAACAGAGGTTTATATATAAAAGGAACATCTCTTGTTTTTGAAACTTTGTCCAATCATATGAGTCATGAAGCAGGCATCAACATCCTTAACGAAAATAACATAAGAGTGTATTTTCGTGCAACTTACACCTTACGCTCATCACTGGTGAAGGTTAAGCATAAAACGGAACAAGATAACCAGCAGAATTGTGTATATCAGATCAATTGTGGGGATTGTGACGCTGTATATGTAGGAGAAACTTCCAGACAGGTAAATTTAAGAGTGAAAGAGCATAAACAATGTTTAAAGGTGGTTCCAAAGACCTCTGTAGACTTGAAGAAGCTAGAAAACAACTCATCGATTGCACTGCATTCGATAGAAACGGGACACAAAATCGACTTTGATAAGACTAAGGTTCTACAGAAAGGTTTTGGTTCATATAAAGAAAGACTGACTGCAGAAGCCCTGCATATATGGGTGAATCTCAACAGTTTGAACAGACGTGAAGGTGTGATGTTAGCTGATGCATGGCAAATCCTGACCAATAAAAAAATAAAAATTGGATACAGGATTTTCATCATGAGCTGACATTAGTTAGAGAACCATTGGAAAACCAACTGGGAGTACTGGATAGCTGTTTCTTCCTAGTTTGGGACTCTTCATCAGTACGCACCCACCACCATACTCCGAACCCAGGACCTTCTGGTTTCAAGGCGAGCTCGTATACCATTAAACCACTGGGACCCGATCCAATGGCTGGTCTATGAATTCTAACTTCTACCAATTCACGACATGGCGCGACCGCTAGCCAATGTCTTCGGCGAGTATTTGTCCCCACACCCTACCTGCTGCACCCTACTGGTCACGACTTCTCACTAGAACCCCAGGTAACTGCCTACCTGGATAGGGCAAGTCGCTGGATATGTATCAACAATTAGTCATACTTGGTCGAATTTCCCGATGGTCTACGTCTTCTTATGGAGAAGCTAACAAATGTTTTATGACTGTTTACCCACATACACATACACACACACCATTGTATCTGCATATACGCATATTTCAACAAAAGTAGACTAATTTTGAAAGTCTTAGGTCAAATTTTGATCACAGTTCATACAACTTTGTTTGTTTATTATACATGTTGATGCCTGTTTCATGACTCATGATTGGACAAAGTTTCAAAAACAAGAGATGTTCCTTTTATATATAAACCTCTGTTATGTTAATTTCGATTACTTTCCCTGAAGAAGTTCAGACCAGATTGCGGAACGAAACGTTGGAATTACTCATTTCAATCTAGCTGAGATTTTATAAATATAATTTTTTTTAAATGTCTAGTTCTGACTCGGCGCCCAAATATTTTTTAGAACTATTCTGTCAAATCTTGACGACAGTTCATTTGAATTATTTTCCAATCGAATTAAATTAACAAAGAAACTGTGTAATTGGTACAATCATCGTGTTTTCACTCTCCACTGTCTGCAACAGAATGCATATCCTAAATCCGTAGCTGTTGAGTCACCTGATAACTCCAGTAGGTCGAATAAATCATCTCAATCTTCAGGAAGAAGACAAAGCAATAAGTCCGACAGGGTGCTCCTACTAAACTCTAATCCTAAACACCATAATTTTGAAAATACGTCTAATCATAAAATTCTAGATACTAACAGTTCGAACAGACATGAAGGTGTGATGTTAGCTGATGCATAGGAAATCCTTATTAATAAATAAAAAATGGATATGTATCACTAATTATTAATACTTGGTCAAAATTCTCGACTGTCCATATCTTCTTATTGAGACGTTAAGAAATGTTTTACAACTGTTTACCCCACACACACATACACACTCTGTCTAAAGTGTTTAACAAAGGTAGACTAATATTTGTAAGTCCGAGGTCAAATTTTGATCACAGCTCATACAATTTTGTTTATTATACTTGTTGAATGACTGATGACTGGACAAAGTTTTTAAAAACAAGTGATGTTCCTTTTATATATAAACCTCTGTTATGTTAATTTCGATTAATTTCCCTGAAGAAGTTCGGACCAGATTGGCGAACGAAACGTCGGAATTAATCATTTCAATTTCTGCAAGATTTTACAAATATAATTTTTACAAATGTACCTGAATATCTTGTTGCTGCTCTTCCACCCCTCACTTTTGTGTTTTATTCGAGAAATATTGATCACATTACTCACATATAAGTACAACAGTATTTTACTAATCTAGCATTTCAGTTCATCAGCATACTATGATCATTTTTTAATTATCGTCTCAAATTTTATCTTCAGGGTACCAAAGTATATTAAAACCGGGGTAGAATCATTACATTTCATTAATTTGGTTGATGCACTTGAAAAGATACCGACGGATCAGCTTTATCCCAAACTGTTTGTTATTAGTGATTTTAAATCTTTAAATATTCCCATTTATAATATTAGAACAAGACATATAAGCGAACAATATTGTTTTCAATTAGATCTTCTTCAGGCTTCACTCTAATTTACATAGATTTATATATAAAATTTTAACCAATGACGGTGATTTTGGGAATCAAATAATAATCTTAATAGTCTTAATAATAATAATGTGGTAAATGTTTTGAACGTAGTTAATAACGATGATTATAATGATAACAAAATATTGATAATAAGGTTTATGCAGGTGATAAGAATAACAAAGGTAGTGTATAAATAAATTGGGTCAAATCTTAAAAGGTGAAGTGGAACGATGTGTATCTATAAATTTAGTTTCTCCTGTGGAGAAAGCTATATAGGGTGAACAACTAGACAGCTGAACAAACGCATTAATGAGCATCTTCCTTCATGGTTCGAAAAAGGTCAAATAAAATCCATACGAAGTTCTATTTTGGCTCATTTGATTGATAGCGGTCACCAAGTGGACAAAAATAGTGCTTTCAAAGTTATCTATCGTATTCCATCGAGTCTTTCGAATGGAATCAGAAACCGTCTTTTACACCTAGCCGAAGCTATAGGAATTCGAGAGAACAATCCTAGTCTTTGCATACAAAAGAAGTTTGTTCTACCTTTGTCTCACCCTTGGCCTAGGTGAACTGTATTCAAAACCCTCCCACCCTTTCTTATTTTCCACCTCCTTCGTACTTTTATAATATTTATTTAAACTCTGATTATCGTTCCACTTCACCTTTTAAGATTTGACCCAATTTATTTATACACTACCTTTGTTATTCTTATCACCTGCATAAACCTTATTATCAATATTTTGTTATCATTATAATCATCGTTATTAACTACGTTCAAAACATTTACCACATTATTATTATTAAGACTATTAAGATTATTATTTGATTCCCAAAATCACCGTCATTGGTTAAAATTTTATATATAAATCTATGTAAATTAGAGTAAAGCCTGAAGAAGATCTAATTGAAAACAATATTGTTCGCTTATATGCCTTGTTCTAATATTAGTGATTTTGTTTAAACCTTGTTAACTAATGATCTCATTTTAAAATATTAATTTTCTGTAATTTTCTGTCCTACAAAGGCAACTTCACCAGATGAGAAAGCGCTTGTTGAAGCAGCCTCAAGACTTGGTGTTGTCTTCGCTGGTAAAGAACGTGATTTAGCTGAAGGTGGTTCGAACAGAGTTTACATTGACTATTGGTCCTGTTCACCAGCACCTGGCGATAAACAAGCAAAATATCTTGGTCAGAAATCTTATCTTATTGATGCTGTACTAGAGTTCGATTCAGTACGGAAACAAATGTCCGTTATGGTACGATATCCTGATGGATCATATTATGTTTTGAGTAAAGGTGCAGAGGTTTCTATGCTGGATCCTGAGGTAAGTGAACTGTGAATTTCAGTCCCTGAATTCGCAGGAGTATATATGTTTAATGCTTAATTTCTATGTGATTTTAACCGTTACTAGAATTACTCCCAATGTAGATTTGGTTAAGAACCTTAATCAGTTACAGAACCATTCAAAACCAGACAACACTGGACAGCTGTTTCACCCTACTGTCTGGGACTCTTCATGCTTTTTTTTATTCCTCTACGTTCCCAGTGGAATATAGGGCTTCAAACTGGAGGCTTGAATCTTCGGTAGTAGTGGTGTTTATTTTTTACTGGATCAAGTTGCTAGACTCATACCTAACCTTCCCTCTTTATCAGTCTTATTACTGGCTTAGTGAGGTAAAGGAGTGCGTCGGCCGGGGTCGAATGCCGGACCACATGAGGCGTGGTCGGCGAGCATTCTACCGCTGTGCCACCAACGCACGGGACTCTTCACTAGTACTTATTAATGATAACAAGTGGGGAAGTCAAACCTAGGACTTTCAGGTTACGAGGCCAACTCGTTAACCACTAAGTCACTAGCTTGGGATCTTATGATCCGTGAATTCTAACTTCTCTCAGTTCCCCATATACAGACACCATCAATCAATACCGCCAATGATCATCCGCTTCCCTCTGACATGGCAGACGCTACCGACCACAGCTTATTCTTACTGGTATCATTATTATTAAAATTTTTATGTAATGCATAGCAATAAATTTTCACCAGACTAACACAGTTTTATATTGATGATTTTTATGTTTTCAACATTTGACATTATATAACTTGACTGACATAAACAAAGGTGGTCTGACTGAGCTTTGAACTATCAAGATATCCCCTCTTATTAAAAGACACCTGCTTGTTTTGGATTAATCTTACGCCGTGTCTTTGTTTCAATCAGTCAAAGGTGTCATGTCGTATTATTATGTTCATTTACTCATTTTTGAAAGTATTTCAACCCATCATTCTTAATGTTCCTAAAATCCTGACAGAAAATATCTTAGTGTTTGGTAATATAGTTAACACGAACTACAGATTTCTCGGTTACTTCGCTCGATCTTGTGCGTAAAAGAAGAGTAGATTTGATGCAATATTAAAAAGCTGAAGGTTTCATTTCTATAGGGTGCAGTTAAACTATAAGACATCAGCGGAGGGATGGCACCAGTGATCTTCAGCTGAAATAATAGAAAACATTTGTAGATTTGGTGAATGATTTTGATGTGGTTACGTTTACTGTGCTTGATGGTTAGTTTATCTGCGAAGCTTTCATTGTCCTGCCTTTCAGACAACAATTTTTGACGTGAAGTGAACTAATTTGAACTCTCCAGCAATGATATCATTGTATCTCCTCACAAGCTTTGTCGTGAATAATTGTTAATTTGCATAAGTATTGATCGTTTTGATCGACTTGGTATGTGACTTTTTCTGTCACATGGTTTATTCTTGATTAGACAATACATTTGATCTGTGTTAATGTATCTGTTAATTTCTGATTCATCTGAGTACCAGGCTTCTAGGAACTCCATGACGACTTTGGTGTCCATAGTTGTCTACATGCATCAATATGAAATAATGCATATTGTGCCTTTTCACAGCTGGTTTATATCCATGGATTTTGAATCGAAGAGAATGTCCACTCTGACCAGTGTAGTGTTTATCACAGTTAATGCAATTTATTCTGTGAACGGGATTGATTTTATTTTCTTTTGCTTTGGTCTGCAGAATATTGAATTAAGTGTTGATCACGAGTTGATCACGGATTGATATCGGTTAGAGAACCATTGTAAACCAACACCAGAGTACTGGACAGCTGTTTCATCCTAGTTTGAGAATCATCGGCAGTACGCACCCACCACCATGGTTCGAACCCAGGAACTTTCGGTTACAAGGCAAGCACGTATACCATTCAGCTACTGGGACCCGATTCCTCAATGGCTAGTCCATGAATTCTTACTTCTACCAATTCGTGATTTAGCGCGACCCCAACCAATGTCGTCGGTGGGACGTGTATCCTCACACGTGACATCTGAATGGACCTCACTGGTCACAACTTCTCACTAGAACTCCAGGAAACTCCATCCTGTAGCAAGTCAATAGTGAGCATCAGATAAATTTTCTATAGTTTGGTTTGTACAACTATAGAACATTTCTACTTCAAATGGATTTGGTACTCTAGCTGTTATTTCAGAAGTATTCTGTATATATGTGTTATAATGAATTTTCTTGTGGTTTTTAAAGGTGGTTTCTTGTTGATAGTTTGATTCGAGTTTAGAGATTTCTGATCAAATTATAGGGATATTTGTAATGGCGGAAGATAAGAGAACTGGTGACACAATTTTTTATTAAGGAGAAATTCATCTTATACATTTTTAACCATAATAGAAGTCACTTAGGTTAGTGAACAACAGACTGTTCTGATTGGCTGACAATTTGTTCAAGGTCAAACAAAGGGATGAAAAGTTGTCCAATAAGATCATTTCATGACCACAATGTAAACTAAATCCAGCTTTGACGAATAAGCACTCGTACGCTTGCAAACGTTGACTTAAAATGGTGATTTCAATTTCCAGTCGTTTCTTTTCGGTCTGCATCTATACAGCACATGCCACATACCTCACTTTTCGCGCGGAAGCAGTTAATAAATATTTCTCTTCTGTTCTCCTCTGGACTGGAGTGCTGAAGTGTTTTATGGGGGAGATTTTTCCTAAACATCGCCTTAAACTAAATTCTTAGCAATAATTCTTAACCTTTAATTTATTGTAATTCACCTTGATCCTCATCCAACTTTAACCCATTCCTAGCCTAACCCTTATCTAAGTCCAACTCTGTCTAATAAAGTTTAGTGAAAGACATGGGAATGAATACCAAAACTCTTGTGAGAATTTCAGGGTTATTGTTGCATTAGTTAAAACAAACCTAGGATTCCTGGACAAATGTTTCGTCTTAGTTCAGGACTCTTCACTGTTACACACCCAGTGGGTACGAACCAAGGGCATTTCAATTATAAGGCAAGCTTGTTGACCATTCAGTCACTTTGACCGTGTCCAGTGGCTCATGAATTCCATCTTCTGTTAACTGGAAGGTCCTGGGCTCGGACCCCACTGAGCGCGTACAGTGAAGAGTCCCATACTAGGACGAAACAGCTTCCCAATACTCCCAGGTTTCCAAATAGTCTTCTAACAGATGTAAGCTCATGATGAAACCCTGTGACCAATTAAATCTCTTTTACTAATCTTACAGTTTTCTAAAAATTTTGTCATATAAATATGGTATTAGTGACTTAGTTTTACTGGTCTACTCAAAATTCTCGGTCTGAGATCATCAGTGCACGGGTTCTGTTAGGCTGTCATGGTTTAACATCTTCTGTGCAACTGAACCGTAAGTGTCTCCAAATGTACTATTGTTATATATTTGGAATTTCACGGGGAACATGAATTTCTTCAATTTTTTATCAAAATGTAATTGTGACATTTATATAATTATGCTTTCTTAGTCTTCAGGTATGGTGTCAACTAATTATACATAGGAAGACATACTATCCAATGAACAGAAGCAGTAAAAGTGGAATGTAGTCATAAGTGTGAAATGATTTTAAAAGCGAAACCAAGAAATTCTAATGTAGGGAAACTCTGTGATAGTTAATTTTTCCATTAACTCTTGGAGATTTAATTCACTATGAAAATAATTTCGAATACGGGAGTATTTTGACAGGCTGAAACCTGTTTGGTAAAAGGAGTCCAAAAAGGATAACGTGACATCATCTCAGCTTTTAAAGGATGTACCCATTAAATTAAAACTTTTTTTACTAAATTTGACAAATTTATGTTGTTATTATTATGATTATGAATATAGTGATTTGGTTTCTAATGTAAGCTATGAGATAAACTGTCGACCTTAACCTAGAAAGAAGGTTGTGTCATTGAATTTTAATTGGTACATTTTTGACCAATCGGAATAGTGTTTTCTGAACATAGAAGTTGTCAGTAATTGATCAGGACAAGTCAGATAACTATAAAAGGCAAGAAGAAAGAAGATTGAGAGAAGAATATTGTTTTCGATAACATCGCCATTTGGCTGAACTAATGTTTAAAGTAATTGTTATTTGACAGTACTTATGTCTTCTAAATAGTATCCCCAATGATACATCCATTGATTGCGCATTAATATATTGGTTTTCAGGAGAACCGAACACACTTATCACAGCCTCCTGGGAGACCAGAACAGCATACAGTATCATCTGGTGGTGTACCCATTCGAGAACCTCTTCCTTTGGCATTCATTGGTGGTTCGGGGGTGAAATCCTCGCTCTATCTCCGACAGACGCATTTCTAAACCTCGCCAAGACTGGAGGTAGCCCGGTAAAGAGGGAAGATTAGGCGTGTTGCTAGTAAGCCCACTCCGTGAAAATAAGTACCACTGCCACTACGAACTTTAAATCATCTAGCTCGAAGCCCTATGTTCCACTCGGAATGCAAAGGGAAAAATCAATAATTTAAAAAAATAATATCCCGTTCTTATGATCAAGAGATTACTGTTCACAGGCATGTGTAAGTGATAATGGGCATAAAAAATATAATACGTAATTGTATATCGGATAAAATTAGGAAAAAAAATTAATGTAGCAATCAAAGATAGCTAAATCAATAATTACCAAGATAAGGAAAGAGTATGGACGAATTTCTTCTGAATATATACATTAGTCTTCTTCAGGTGAATTCCTTAAGCTTCAGCTGTGTGTAAAAGACGAACTCATAAGATAAATTGAGGTCTGCCGGGATAAGGGGTACATAAATTTAAAAGTTTTGTTAACCTCGACTCTGTTTTCAATGTCTGCAAGATAAGCTAGCATTGAGCTTTAAATAAACCTTGTCTATCCCTTGCTCAACTATGCAGGATGATGTTCAGAAGTTTGACATCGAATATGCTTAACTGTACGCCTAATATGTCTGTCTGAGGAAATAGTTAGGAGGAATAAATTGTCATTTATACGGAGGTTATGAAAATAA